TCGGGGATAACGAACGCGATAATGAGGATGACTTCTTTAACCAGCTCAAAACGCAAACGAAGCCGATATATAGTCCGCCAGAAACAGAATCTCGGTTCGAAGAGGGAATTCCGCTACTCGGTCACGGTGCAGCAACACAAAATGATCATGCTCAAAAGGGGGAGAGCCAACTCGACGACGTTTTCGGAGGCGATGAAGATGACGAGAGCGGATTTTTTAGTGAAATCCAGAAGCCAACTTCAGCCGAAGGACCTTCCCACATCACGCGCAAGAGCACCAGTCAAGTCATCGATTCTCTTAATGCGGTTTCGGACTCTCCGTTCAGTGAACCATCGCCAACAGCCGTGGAGTTCAACAACGGTTTGACTGTGCCCACAGCAGACGGTGAAATCAAAAAGGCTCCTTCAGAAGAAGATCTTGCTGCACGATGGCAAGCGGAACTTTCCGATGATGCTGACGAAACTATGCCCACCGAAGATGATCTGGCTGCCCGGTGGCAGGCGGAACTCGATGATGACGATGATGACTTGCTCTTGGATTATGATACGACGAATGCACAGGGACCACCAGAGGCTGCCAATATAGATCATATGAACGACTCTTCAATCCTTCAGAGTCCATTCGGTACCCCGGAGAATCCTGCTCGGCCCAAAATGCAACCGGTCTCCTACACACCGCACCAGCCCTCTACATCAGGTCTGCTCTCAGGTATTCCTGCGCAAAATACTGCGGCTCAGCCCACCAATGCTTCCATGTCAAGTTACTTTTCAGCACAGGCTCCTCCGAACCCTGTTACGACTAGAGCAGAGAGTTTCGCAGAACGTTCGAAGGAAGGCTATAAGTCACCTTATGACCTTCCAGAGGATCTTGCGCGGCCTCGTCGGGCCGTTGCCAGCAGCAGAACAGTTGTTGCACAGCCCGGTACCGTACCGCAGCCGCCTCCGCGGAGCAGTAGCATACCTGCACCTCCTTTGAAGGCGTCAACAGTCCCTCCTGCACCGCTTGGAACCTCATCGGCAGCCCCAACAGCACCTCAGAAGAACTTCTTCGAAGAGCTTCCACTGCCGCCTCCTAGGCCCAAATCGAGGCCTGCGAGCTCTGGAAGGTATACACCTAATGCCACTGTATGTGCGCCGTCAGTACCGCAGTCGATCCCCCCTCCAGCGAATCCGTATTCGAATGTTCCGGGAGCTCCCCAGTCCAATATCGGACCCCCAAATCCACCCCAATTGCAGCAGCCGGAAAGGTTGGACCCATACTCAAATCTATTAGCGCCCAATGTACCAAGCGCACCGGCCGTTCCAAGCACTGCGTCGAGATACTCGCCAAGGCCTCCCGGTCTGCAGGCTGGTGTTAAGCCCCCTCCTTCGCCCAGATACTCTCCAGCCCCACCTCAGTCTACGAATGCTGCGGCAGCGGCTCCTCCTCGCAATCGCTACGCCTCACAACCAGCAAGTATCTCAGGGCAGGGAGCTGCTTTACAATTCCAACCACGCACATCGAGCCCTCTGGCTTACCATGAGAAGATACACTATCAAGATCAAGGCCAAAGTGAAGAGCGGCCTCAACTGCAACCAACAGCTATTCCTCCTCCTTTGAACCATTCGCATCCGTCAGAACAGCCGGTCTCCTCAGAAAATAAAGGCCCTAGCAGCGCGGACGTCTTGGAGAATATGCCTCCGGTATCTACCCGACCGCAATCGCCACCCAAAAATCCATATGCTCCTTCCGCATATACCAGTGAATTTGCCAAGCGCGCGGCTCCCGTATCTACCGGTCCACCAATCGCCGGAATGACTGGAGTCCTGAATCCTTCCACCGAGGAATCCCCGTTTGTCCCTCCTCGTCGATCCCAGACACAGTCTCCCAGTCAAACCCTCAGTCCCAGATTGTCCGTTCCATCGCTCGACCCTTTCCAACGGCCTGCTTCTGTGCATGGTTCGACGTCTCCGACGCGAACGGTTAATCCTTACGCCCCAGCACCAGTTCCCACCCACAACCGTGCACCTTCTCAAGTGCTTGAGTTTATCCCTCCAACTGATGGACAACAACTCGACTCTCTGGAACGGTGGAAGGGTGCACCCATTTTCAAGTTCGGGTTTGGTGGCGCTGTGATATCTTGCTTCCCCAAGCATATCCCGCGTTACTCGGCTGGCCAGGCAGCCCCGATGATCAAGTCTTGTCCTGGTGAGGTCCGAGTCAGCCAGCTGAATGACTGGCTTCCCGCTGCTGAGGGTATTGTGCAACATCCGGGTCCTCTGAAGGGCAAGTCGAAGAAGAAAGACCTGGTTGCTTGGCTTTCTAGCAAAATCGCAGCCTTCGAAAACGCCGATATCCCCGATTTCGATCGTCTTTCACCCGATGCTACTAAACGCCGTGAGGAGAAGACCCTCTTATGGAAGGTCATCCGAGTCTTGGTCGAGAATGATGGTGTTTTGGAAGGCTCCGTTGAAGCTCAGAAGTCTTTGCGTAACCTACTATTTCCCAACTTGCAGGATTCTGTGCCGAATCAATCGCTTGGAGATGGCTTTACACCATCTACAACTCTTCAACCCTTAAACGCGCCCTCTCAACCGGATGCTGTCGATCCACGGTCGGTAGATTCACTCCGTGATACTCTGGTACTTGGAGAAAGAGAGAAAGCAGTCTGGGCTGCAGTAGACAAACGTCTCTGGGGCCATGCTATGATAATAGCATCGACGATGGATAGATCGGTCTGGCAACAGGTTGTCCAGGAGTTCGTGAGGCGAGAAGTGAGATCGGCGACAAGCCGCACCGAGTCTCTAGCGGCGTTCTACGAGATTCTAGCCGGAAATGTCGAGGAAAGCATTGATGAGCTAGTTCCCCCTTCGGCCAGGGCCGGCTTGCAAATGATCAGCAAGGTTGACGGACATGGCACCGCCAAGAATTCTCTTGATGGCCTTGACAGCTGGCGGGAAACTTTGGGACTGGTACTGAGCAACCGCAGCCCTGACGATCAACGAGCGCTGGTTGCTCTCGGTCGACTGCTGCTCTCATATAACCGTACTGAGGCCGCTCATATTTGTTTCATTCTCTCTCGCGCCGCTGTGTTCGGCGGGGTCGATGACCCACTAGCAAATATCGTGCTTCTCGGAGTGGATCATCAACGCTTGGCATCCTCCGCTGCTCTGTACGACGACGATTCTATTCTGCTCACTGAAGCCTATGAATTTGCGACATCTGTGCTTGCGGGCTCGTCCGTGTCCACACTTCCGCATCTGCTGGCGTTCAAGCTAATCCACGCATGGTCGCTTGCGGATCGTGGCCGCAAGTCTGAAGCTCAACAGTACTGCGACGCCATCGCAGCCGCTCTAAAGGCAACCACAAAGCCGTCCGGCTATCACAATCAGCACCTGTTCTTCGGTGTGGATGAGCTATCGGCGCGCCTCAGAGAAACGACCAGCGATGGCGGATCATCCTGGATTTCAAGGCCCAGTATGGAGAAGGTGTCGGGCTCGATGTGGGCGAAGTTCAACAGCTTTGTTGCTGGAGATGACAGCGATGCAGCTTCCACTGGCTCAGGGAAGGCTGAAGAGATCGGACCCTTTGCCAGAGTCTCTGGAACTCCCACCATTAGTCGCTCACCGTCAGTATCCGACATCTATGGGTCCTACCCTGTGGCGGCGGCTCAGCCGTTGCCCGGCACTGGTCCCTCTCGCTACCAACCAGTGAGCCATTACGCTCCAAGCGCTTCACCAGAGCAACTTCGTGGTAGATCGTCTATGGACTCCCAGAGGTCTTCATCGTTCGGGTACCCACTAGGACAGCGACGAGGATCTCAGGAGCCTTCTACACCGGTTGACACGAACATGTTTCACGGAATGCCAATGTATGGCTCTCCGCCGGTTGCTGGCTACCAGTCCACGCCTCCACAATCATCCTACATGCCTTTGGCACCTGTTGCAGAGGATTCGGCATCTGGAGCTCAACAAGGGCCTTTCTCCGCATACTCTCAGGTCTCCGACAGTGCCCCGTCCCACCGGCCTTCTGCGTATGCACCGGAACCATTTGGTCATCCTTTCGATACCCAAGGTGTGTCTACGACGTCTCAACCAGACCAGGGCGGATATATGCCTCCTGCCAGCACGGGGGCCTACGAACCTCCATCCGTTGAGTCTAATACAGAGCCTGCGGACGGTGTTCGGGATGAGTCTACTGAAGAGGACAAGCCGAAGAAGAAATCATTCATGGACGAGGACGACGACGAGGATCTTGCAGCGCGTGCAGCCGCCATTCAGAAGGCAGAGAGGGCACGCCGGGACCGCGAAGCTGACGAGGCGTTCCGCAAAGCGGCCGAAGCAGATGGTAAGTTCCCATGTAACTGTTGATCTCTGCCGTGGCTAATTGATCTGTGTAGCCAAGAAACCCCCGCCCGCAACAGAGAAGAAGGGATGGTTCAGTGGATGGTTTGGAGGCAAGAAAGACGACAATAGTGGCGGTGGGCCAATCCGTGCCAAACTTGGGGAGGAGAATTCATTCTACTATGACACCGAACTCAAGAAGTGGGTTAACAAAAAGGATCCCGGGAGTGCTGCTCCAACACGTGGAACGCCACCCCCACCGAAGGGTTCGGCACCTCCCAGTAGATCAATGAGCGGCAGTGGTGGGCCACCACCTGCTATGGCGACGCCTCCGCCGACAGGGGCCTCGGGAAGCCGGCCATCCTCTTCTGCAGGCGCACCTCCGTCCGTGTCTGCTAGCCCAGCTCCCCCCTCGCTCGGAGCTCCGCCTCCTGCTATCCCACGATCTGTGTCAACGGGCGCAGTCTTGCCGACTCCTCCGAGCAGTTCAGCCGGGGCACCACCCAGGCCTGCAACGTCATTGAGCAATGCCAGCTCAATAGACGACTTACTCGGAGCACCGCAGGCGCGTAAAGGCCCTGCAGCCAGGGGGAAGAAGAAAGGCCGCTATGTCGACGTTATGGCGAAGTAAGAGCCTGATGGGCTGATCTTACTTCTTTCTCGACTTGATTTTTATTTTCACTTCTTGCAAAATGTGATATGCATATACTCGGTCCGGTCATAGAACCATTGATGTTGAGTTTGCTTAGAAGCTTGCATGCCGGGTTCGGCTTGAATGATAGCGGCCTGTTTTGGCGGCGCTTTGCAAGATTTCTCCTTGCATGTTTGCATATACGTCTGGCGCACACAGTTGCGCTGCACGACTTCCTATGGGAGTTGGAGATGATCATTTTGGGTCGTTAGATCCAAGCCGAATTCTTACAATCACCAAGGTTTTCTTTGACACCTTGCGACAGATTGGCTTACGTTTTGTATGATATACGATTTTAATTTGTCCACTATTGCTCTAATAACTAGCATTCTATGTATCATGTCTCATTATCGCAGCTTTGGCGCTCGCACCTTGCCCAAGCCTTCTAGACTCAGGCGGGGTCTCTGATAGATCAGACTGCATAGGAATTGATGTAATACTAGCAAGGGAAATTTTAATAATGGCATGGCTAAAATATAGCAACGGGAACTTACTGTCAAGCACGAATCCTCCCCATTCCAACTTTGTGGTAAGTAAACATACAGAATCAGGGCCGTCTCGTGGATGAAACCTGCACAGTAGAGTAGGCGTATTAGCACAAGCGTACAGTCGCAAGCATAGACACCACGGTAGTACAACTCACAGGCAACCACCTTCGGGCTCAGCCGCCCAATACTCAACACCCGACTCCAATCCTTAGCATCGATCCGCACCTTAGCCCACCCCGCCTCGTCATCACTCCCCAGCGCCCGCATCCTCTCACTGGGCAACTGCTCAATCTCACTCTGCGACATCCCCGCCGGATCCAGCGGCGGGTTCACGAGATCACTCCACACACTCGAGATGCGCAGCGCATCGGTCGCAATCGCCAGCCTCAGCGAGCCATGCATATTCGCCGATAACTCGAGCTTGGGCGACGTCAGCGTCGAGGACACAATCCCGCCGCTGGCAGCGGGTCGCGCGTCCCCCGCTAGCTTCGAGAAGCGCTCCGAGATGCTTTTCAGGTGTGCCAGGCTCGGGAGGATGATGTGCACGTCTGGATCGCGGCAGCGCGGCTCGTGTAGGCCTTCGACTGCGCTTTCGTGTAGGACCTTGACGGGGATTTCTTGCGTGATTACCGTTTCGCGTTCGCGGGGCCCCGTCACGCCTGCAGCAGCTCCTGGGGCTGCGGCGGCAGCGGTTCCATTGACCGGGTTGGTGATCCCGAGGGCGTTTGAGCCTGTTGTCCAGGAGGAGGAGAGGACGGTTAGTGCGAGGAGGGGGATGTTGCCTTTCTTTGTGAGGCGGAGTTGGGCGGAGGTGGCGCCTGTTGCGGAGCGGAGGGCGCGATGGAGCGCGCCGATTGGCACTTCGAGGTTGATGACTCCTGAGTTGGATTGGAGGGTGTAGGTTGGTTCGTCGAAGATGGCGTCCTACGCCGTTTGTTAGCTTGGGTGTGACTGACGCGGAAAGGGGCGTTGCGTACGACTGGTAACTGGGCCCACACTTGCGTGCCTTGGTCGGGGATGATGGTGAAGCGGACGATGCCATCTTCCAGGCGCATCCAGCAGACTTTCCCTAGCGATGAGAGGGAAGCTGTCAATTCTGTTGGTGGGGTGGTTAGTAGGAGTACTGATGATTGGCGACGGGGAGACGTACTGGTGAAGGTGACAATGTTAGTCAGTTGACTTCGAAAACGCATTGTGGGTCATCGCGTCGCTGCGAATACTGTCCTTGGAATGGTATTAGTTGGGCTACTTGAGGATATCTAGACTACTGTGATGATGCTGAGCTTTGTGCATTGATGAGTCCAGGCTTCAGCAGGCTGAAGGCGATCGGCAAGGGACAGCGCTAACTAGTCATTGCTGTGGGGAATCTTTTACTGTGGGCTACGCTAGTGGCCTAAGGCCGTAGCTAACGGTTTGCTTTGCTTTATCCAGCTGCTACGTGCTACCTGCTACAGACTGCCGTTGAAAATATCGTAAACCGCAATAGATGATGGAAAATTATCCCGTTTAAGGGTTAAAGTCTACTCTGTCCTGCTAAGAACAGTTCCATCCGATCTCTCAAGAGCCAACGCAGCGATCAACGCGGCGCCAACTCCAGACCCGTCTTCGTAGAACTCAAATACAATCGGATCCCCAAGGTCATCGGGCCATGCAAAAATATCACGGAGGGCCTGCGCCGCTCGCTTGCGGTAATTCTGATAATGACCAAAAATTGACCCATCAACGCCCACATGGCAGCGTTCGATATTGCGTTTCTTGCAGATCGCTGCGATCCCACATGAATAGAGACGGGCAGCACGCGTCCCAACCAACTCGGCCAGGTATCGACAGGCCTTGAGTTCGTGCGGAGCTGGATCAAGGCCCATCTTCTCCCACAGACACTTACGAGCGTTTTCCATGCACTCGCCGATATCCTCCTCCAGGGTTGGGAAGAGGGAAGCGTCCAGGGCATTTGGCTGGCGCAAGCACGAAACATCCTGACCTACAAAGAGAAGTTTGGCTTCGTGCAGTTCCAACATCACCAGTCGGAGCAGCTCCCCCAGGTACGGCCCGGAGACCATCTTCTCGTAAAGCTGCTGGCCTGGATGCGCGGATGTCCGGTCGATTTCATCATCGAATCGTGTCCGCGGCAGTATGCGGCGTGAATTATCAAAGGCACCGTACTCGGTGTTGATCGCGACGAGAGCATCGCTTGGTAGCCCGCAGCCTTGGATCTTTGGGATTGCACCAATCTCTTCCATGTATGCAGCGTTGCAACCGGTGCTTGCTATACTACCGATCTTGACCTCTCGGTCTCCATACGCCGCGGCGAAGAGCGTCCCGACCGTATCATTGATCAAAGCCACGACTCGGACGGGAATTTGCTAGTCAAATGAGCAATAAGACGACTAGACTTTGCAATCGGCTAGAATAATGAGGGAACACACCTTCCGTTCAAAAGCAGCCTCTAACTGAAATACAACATCATGACCTTCAACTCCAGATACGCAGAAATCTTTCGTCCAGCGCTGAAGGACCCCGACTTTTATAGACGACTGAATGACGGGATAGGAGAACGTAAAGGCAAGCGGCAACACTTTCGATCTTTCACTTTCACTGAGTCGTGACTGGAGAAACTTCCGCACACAGTCCGCCACGAAATCCCACAGATCGTCGGCTGTACCTTGCTTGATCGACTGGGGTATACTGTACTTTTCCTGGATGGACTCCATATCGCGATCACTACCGAAAAGCTCCGCCTGACTTACGCGCAGGTTGGTGCCTCCCATGTCGAGGATCAAAAACTTTCCTTGCTCCTTGCCCGTTGGATAGCCCATGACCCAAGTTACGTTCATTGGCTGTGGCATGATCTCGATCAGTTAGGGTCCCTTCAGAGCACGGAACCTAGATATTCAAATCTAGCAAGCTCACTAACGATATCGCCTCCTTCTGCGCTTAGGCCTTGAGGAATTGGTCAGTATGGGCATCGAAGAATGACGACGTCGTTCACCATGCCCCTAAAAGTTTTTTCCAGGCTGATCTGCTAGGTTCCAAACCTTTTTCCATTTCCTTGACTAAATGATCCGTGATCTTCCTCAGCAGGAACCTGTCCGCAGCGAACAGTTCCTCCAGTCCCTGAAGCGCAACGACCAGCCTCTCTGGTGCGCCGCTGAGTAGGTCGGGTTGAGTCCGGAGACCTTTTTCCATTGCTGTGCCTGAAAGAGATGGGCCTGGGGTCGGTCATGCAAGGGGTAGGACCATTCAAGATCTAGAAAGGAATCTTTGTTCTATCAATCGAGGTATTTGGATTTGGGACGACAAAGGAAGGGATATAGGGCTACTGAGGCATTCCGATAATCGCGTGGAATGAGAATCATGACGGGCGGATTCGAATGCCAGAGGCCATCATATTGACCGCATAATGAGCCAAGTTGCTTCTGTCCATCTGCAGATGCATGGATCGAGTGAGAGGCAGCTGTCAATATGCATGTTTCTTAAGTACCTCTAGCGATAAGTAAACGGCACACGCGTCGGGCAGAAAACGAGTGCAGGATGCATTTCATGGCTCGATGGAGTAGATACAAATACACAATACCCTAACGGGAAATTCTTAGTGCCTTTTAACAGGGAACTATCCAAAAATACTTTCTTCTGGCGAAACCCCCTGATGATTATAATTATTGGCTAGATAGTTAGTCAGTATCTACTAGTGAATAGTAAGGTCCACTTGAGTATCCGCGCGTCGCCGTCAACCCTTGGTAACCTAGCTAAGGTAGCTAGCTTAGGGATCTCCATCTCCAGGTCACCAACAACACCATCAAAACTCTCACTCTCCTCTTTTCTCCATGCATGCACAGATAATGCTGCTCCTGTTGATGCAAATGGTTGGTTGTTATCAATTCTGTCATTGAGACCCAATTATTAATGAGCTGGTCTCCGACAATACACTCGTTTCCCCTCTACTGCAACCACCCCGACTTGGTCGATCCAAGCCTTTCCCTCTTTTCCCCCGACCAACCTCATATCCCAGTCCGAGTGCCGTTTGTGACCTATCCGACCTGCCAACTCTTCTTCGTTCTCATCCTGTCTCTCATTATCGTCATAAATTATCTCTCGTTCCTCCGAATCATCTCCGCTCCACTTCCTCTGTACTTCGATTCCGCTCAATCTACTCCGTACGCTCTCGCTTTCGGTCCCTATACGCCTACCTCGCCATACGCCTTCGTTCAGCTTCAGCGGGATCGCGCCTCAGCATGCTCACTCAGCGGTATTCCCTCTCTCCTACCATTACTGATACCGCATCTCGACCTCCGTCTCTTGAAATATACATCCACTCCTCGGTAGTCTTTCCGCCCGGCCTTTTGTGAGCCGTCGATTCCTAGCTGGTGACGACCCCTTTCCCGAAATGGCAACCAGTCGTGTCAGCCCCGTTCGCCCATCGGTTCGATTCTCTCCCACCGAATCTCATCACTATCGTAAACGCTCATTATCTCGATCCCCCGACCGTTCTGCTGCTCCGAAATATGAAACAATTGACCCCTTGCTCAGCAACCTTTCTCCCGAGTCCACCTTGCTGGCGCTAACCTCCACCGATGCGGTACCAAAGAATGAGAAAGCTGCTCATGATATTCTCTGGAAGAGTATTTCAGAAGTCTCCCCGGCGGAACGCGCCCTGGGAATCCGCGCGGCTATAGCAGCTCAGAAGCTGGGCGAGTGGTATCGGGAGGTGCAGGCATGGGACTGGCCGAAGCGAGCCGATGCTGAACTAGGGAAAGGTTTCATGCCGCCATCTTCGAGTACTGTCGATTCTGCGGAACAAGTCTACTATGGCAGCCTACCCTCGGTTGTTGTTAAGCAGCACGAGGATCGCATTGAAGAAATCCGAGATGGAATGGAAACATTGGACGTTGACGAACTCAAAGAACATGTACTCAATGCCCACATTCCAGCGCGGTCTCGGCCCTCGTCATCCAATAGCACCCTTTCCGTTCCTCCTTTTCTGACCTACGTTCAACTGAGCGATTTCACTGCCGTCGTCACCGCTACTATTCTTCGAGCCCTTCCTCTTTTGTCCCGGTTGAACAGCCTCCTTACAACATGGGACATTCGACTATTGGTCCTTCGCCAGATTCCAGGCCTATTACGAGCTCTGCATCTTGCTCAGTCCGAGGTGGATTCTGCGATGGGCCTGTTGAAAGCTACCGCTCCTCCTTCCGAGAATGATCCTCTTTATTCGAGAGAAAACTATCACGCCAAGCGAGCTGGTCTTGAGGCGATAGTACTCTCGGCGGGCAGACGAATGGATAATGTCCTTGACGCGCTCGAGGGTCGAGAGGATTCACTCCCGGAAAGCTGGATTGACGAGCTGGAGGCTGTTGAGTCTGATTTTAGCACCTGGGTTATGGAAGCTGAAAAGCGTACGGTTGAGAATGAATGGCTACGCCTGAGGACGATGACGAGCAAATCGAAAGAATCCCAACGTGTGCAGAATAAACAGAATCGGCTGTCAAACATTCCTGAAGAGGAAGATTCTAAGTTTCCAGTTGCGGATTCATCCGACCCATTCCCGCAATCCAGTTGCTCGCTTCCTATGGAAACCATCAACGAAGGTGACGGTGACCAACCGTTGGTGGAAGCTATTTCTGATCCTGTTACGCACAATCAAAACTCTGCACAGGTGCTCAATACTCTAGATCCTTCTCAATCCCATCTTGACTCGAGTGAGTTTGTGAGTTTGTCTGGACCCGACACAGAGATATCGAATGAGCCTTCAGAACAAAGTACAATCAAAATCGTGATAGATGCTGTATCACCCGTCGATGTGGACATGTCTCAACCGGAGTCTTCGGAAATCATGAAAAGCTTCTCGGGAGACGACTCCAATAATTCTATTGGAGGATCTTCAGACGAGCCGTCGGATGACCACCCTTCTCAGTCGACTCCGTCCGTTTGTCAAGTTCTACCTGCAACATCCGAGGCCGCTTCAGATGAGGTGTCATTGGAAGAGCTTGGAGAGGCCGCAGCGCAAACTCATGAAAACACTACGGTGCCACAAATTCCTGAACAGGAACGTTCAGCTTTCATAGAACAATCTTCCGGAGAAAGGACGGACGACACAAGCTCAAGCGAAAAACATCAGGTCTCTCGTGACCTTCATTGTTCCCTGACAAATGACCACTTCATCGCAAACCGGCCTGCAGTTGAATGCTTATCTGTTTCATCCGAACTCCTACCAGAGAATACATCTCTTGTCTCACATGTTGAGGAGAAGTTATGCGGTTCGCAACTATCTGTATCTGCTCAGGAAGTATCATCTATCGCTATAGGGTCGGCGAAGTCCTCTTACAAAGAACACAAAGTACCCCTAGAAGAACCCAGCTTTGCCACTTTAAAGAACGATTCCATCCGAATTCCAGAGTCGGAAACACCCTCACTACCTACGACAGGCACATCGATGGAGCCGACTGATGCTGTTTGTGGGATCAAAGAGAATCAGACAAGCAGCACAACAGCTGGAGACAACAGTCAGGAAGAAAGGAAACAATTTTCAGACGGATTATCCGTCGTCGAGGCGCCTTCTGACTCTGATCGTCAGCTTACAATCGAACCATTGGAGGACAAGGTTGCTCCCACGGTCTCGAGCAACCTGGCAGAAGTTGCATTCAGCGAGGAAACAGCTGCGGCTGAACGGCTCGACCGTCAGGGCCTGAACGCAGATATAGGACGAGCAATTGACCCATCTGGTTCTGAGAAATCCTCGCCAATTGAGAATGAAGCAGCAACTCTGACAAGCGTCATAGCCGAAGCAGCTACAACTGGAGCGCCTTCTACTTCCATGTCACTCAAGAGAGAAGAGTCGTTTTCTAGATCTACAACTTCGTCGCCAGAACCTGCAAAGCCTGTGTCTAATTCTCGCAATGACAAAGCGTCTGCCGCTTACCCAGGCGAACCACAACAGGCTTCGGAGACAGTTCCTCCACCCAAGATTCGATTGGAAAGTCCCATAAAACTATCGAAAACCAGGCCGCAGAGCTTATATATCAGTAAAGGAAACTCGAAATCGCGGGCTCGACGAACTTCTACCGCATCTGCGGGCTCCCTTTCGGATTATCCCTCCCTTTCATCTAGTCCGGGCATCCGTGAACCTCGTACCGCGTCTTCGAATGGGACACCACTGCTTCTCGAGACACCACCACCGTTCCAAGACCTTTCACAAACATCTGATTATGTGTCAGTTGGTACCGACCATACTCTGCGTGAGGAGCGCTTGCGCCGTTTGGACAACCAGAAAGTTCCTAATGCAACCATGTCGCATAACCGGGCCCTGAGCCTTCCCCTGCAAAGATTCATCAATGAAAGACTTGACATGCAGTACGAGAGCGAGGCGGGGGTTGATTTGAACGGTACCTTCGGCAATCGACGAGCCTCAGTTGCTTCCGTTGACCTGCGTCCCCAAAGCGAGCAACATGCAACGGACTTACAATCACCAAAGGATGGCTCAACCGTGCCGACTAATAATCTGAAACTCCTCGCAAGTCAGCACATGGAACTTTCTCAGAGAAGACAATCCACTTCGAAACTCGATGACGCTACCCCTAAGCCGTCTAAAGCCTGGGCAATCAACGCGAACGCTTTTGCCAGAAACTCTGTCATTCCAAGCCCTCCGTTGGAACGTACTGTTCGTAACGACACCGTTCGTATACGAAAGCAAATGACCACCCATCCTAGCCTTGAGAACATTGGTGCATACAATTCCAACTCGCAACCTTTGGGAGACGCTAGCTTTCCAAGAAAGGGAACATCGAGATCCTCGACTCCCAGTAAACAGATGAGGAGGCCGAAGAATCAACTGGATGAGAAAATCAGC